AGAGACCCCCCCCCCCCCCCCCCCCCCCCCCAAACCCCCGGCCTTGTTCTTTTTCGCCATGGGTTACGCCGATTGGCAGAAGACGTACCGGGCGCGGCAGGCCAAGGGGAACCCGTAGCAGCGACGCAACAATTCCGTCTAAGGCGCCTTGAAGCAATCGTCGACATGGTGTCCATCTGGGAATCCGAAGAACTTGAAGGGGCAGCAGCAGCAGCAGCTGCAGTAGCAGCAGCAAGTCCGCCTCACAGCGCTGTCCTGCTACCAGCAGCGGAACAAGTGCGCCGGTTACGAGCGAAGGCAGCCGTGAAGGCATTGGTTGGCCCCGCTTTCAAAGACTATGCTACCCCTCCGGATAGCCTCGGGGCAGGAGAGGGGGACCAATCGTCTCCGGCGGGGCGAGAGGGGTCGATTGCGGCCCTGTCGCGAGAGTGGTGGCCGAAGCTCATCTCGGCTGGGGTGGACGCGCGAGAGTGGGAGTTCGTGTGCAGGTGGACCGAGTTTTGCGGCCTTCGTTAGGTAGCACTACGCGTGCTGCGGCGAAGGCGTGGGTTTTCGTCGCGTCTTCCCTCGCTGCCCCCCTGGTTCTATTTTCCCACCTCGCGGTGGAGAAATAACGCTTCTGATTGGGACAAGGCGCTTCTTTCTGTCGGCTTGGTCCGCGATGTTCGTGCCTCACCGATACCTATTGTACATAGCAACCCACCGCCACGTCGTCTTGCGGTGGGGTTTAACCACGCCCAATTGGGGACACTTTGGGGGCACCGCACTCAAATGTCTGTTTGTCGCATCTTAGTCGCCCCAAGCTCCGCCGTGTGAAGTGCACGTAAGAAACCGTTGTCTATCATGCTTGGGTGAGGTGCTGCGCTATGTGATATGCTGTGTAATAATCTGTGTGATGCCTCTGCTCGGCCTTACTTGCTCTTCACTATCTCCCAAGCCGCGTGTCCCGTGGATGCTAAAACGGTATAGCCTGGCACTGGATAAATTTGCTGACTTGGCTTTAGCATGAAAAGTGTCCCCAAGTGTTTTGGAGACTGAAGCCAAGTCACCCTTCGTCTGGCGAGGAGCTCGGTACTCTCCGATTTTTTCGAAGGTACTGTAGCCCCTCGGCCAATGACTGGCTAACATTTCTGCGACATATTTTTATTTGTGGAGGGACTGCGTACTAGGACGGTCAACGCCTAACCTTCACGGCAAATCGGTCAGAGACCCTCTGTTCCTTGTACGCCGTTAGCCCCCCCCCCCTCCTCTTGGACGATGCGGCGGTGCGCGTTGACCCAACTGCTGAGAAATACTGCGTGTGTTTGCAGGTGCTTGGCGTCGACTGGTTGCGCCGCTTTTACGTCGGAAGGGTTCGAAGAAGCGCTGTGGTCCACTCTAGAGGCCTCGGGCGCGCCCCCTCTCGCGCGCATCAAGGTGCAGTCTTGGCATCTGCTTGTTTTTCTCTCTTGCATGTTTTACTCGCTTGCATGTTGTACTCGCTGTCCTCCGGCCGTCGCACACTAAATGAATTCATCGTGCGTCGCCGCGCTTCGAACAAATGAGCACAACTTTTCACATACGTCTTCTCTCTCGTCTCAAAACTCATCCCCACACACTTGACATGCCATACAGCCTACGAGCACAGTAGGGATGCCCTTGTAAGAGAGGGTACCTTATCAGGGGGGGGTTGGACGTAAGAGGTTCGAAATCTGTCACGGACTCTGCTCATTGTAGTATACTTCGTAGTTGGGTAGTCTCTTATTTCCGGTGGAAGAGGGGGCTCCGACGTATCGTAGAATACAGAACGCGCCACTACTTACGAACTTAGCGCTTAAGAACCAGAGCATGAATGATGCCGAAAGCTAAGAGCTTGGCCATAAGAACAGGTGCTCCATCAAGAAGCCAACACTATAACCTATATAGTCGCTGTGGTGGTGTCCCCTAGACAAAAAAGAAAAAAGTGTATCGGCCAAAACAACATGTTTTTTTCCACAGTCGTCTGGCACCATGTTGCGTCCCCCAAACCGAAAACTCAAAGGTACTCAAAACAAAAACAAGCCACACCCAGCCTATTTCGATGGCATCCCCCAAACCCCAAAACTAAGAAACACGAAATGCCACCACGAAACACGCGCACCCAACTATAGTTTTCTGTAGGCACGACCTACAGTAATTGAGAGTCGAAGGCGCGGAGCGTTATCGCGTATTGCGTCCCCAAAACTGAAATTGAACAACGCCTATCTGGACTACTTAGAAGTATTATGTTTCCATCATGCATTGTGTCAGGCATCCCGCTGGTTTGTATTTTGAAACCTTCCTGGCCTTATCGGTTTTCTAACATCCGCCATTTTTTTTGTTAATTTACGTTGAACTCTGCCGCGTTTCAGGTCGGGCTTGCCTCTCTTCACCCATCCAGGCATGTGGCCGCCACGAAGCTGTTGGCGAGCGAGTTGAGCGCTAGCGACAGCGGCGCGGCTGCCAGCGTGGACGATGATACCTTGCAGCTCGCTCTCTCCAGGTATGCATCGACATACAGGGCTCCGCTATAGGGACCGTCATTTTCGGTTAATGACATTTTTTTCTTGCCCCCGGGCGCGCACTGCATGCTTGCTACACCTGCAGAAAGGAGCGATCAATGCGTACGTGAGGGAGCATGCCGAGGTCGAGAGCGACTGGGCAGCCGAATGGCCCCGTCATCATCCGTGTCGTTCCTGTACAGTACTTGTAATGTCGTCTGCTGTAGTCTCGTGCTTGCTTTTCATGAGTTCGGGAGGGATGCCAACAGATTTTTTCGGGCAGGGGCGGTCTCTGGTGTTGTTCGTGCCCGCTGCGCTCTGAATACGCCCTTTGGCATGCACCGTGACCGAATCCCTTCCTAACCACGATGATCCCGCCTTCCCCTCCCATGCATGCCTCCAAACAACGATGATGGGACCGCCATCACGATTCACCTCTACCACCAGCCCGTCTCTGGGGCAGCTGGCGAAGACCGCTCTCTACCCTTCCCTCGCGGCCGTCGCGATGCGGTGCAAGCTCTGGTCCTGCCCTCCTTCTCAACAGCAACCACAAGGCCAGCACCGACAACGACAGCAGCAGCCGTTGTCCTCGTCCACCGCGGTCGTGCCTCCGCCGCCGACCTCCTCGATGGAGTTCCTGCTCCTCGCGATGGCCTGCGCGGGGGAACACAGCAGAGCGGCAGCGCTCGCGTGCGAGACTTCAGGAGTCCACCCGGGCTTGCGCACTCTCGACGGCGGCTTGGTGGTGCTCGGGATGCGGCTCAGGGCGGGGGGTGGTTCCTTGGGTGCCGGGGCGGGGGATACGGGCATGGGGTGGTTTGAGCCGTTGGCTGGCGCGCTCCGGGAGAGAGCGCTGCAAGCTTTCGAGGAGGATGTTTTTTGAACAAAGCGGGCTGGCTTGCTCGCGGCAAGCTTTCGAGGAGATGGTGTGTTTGGAATAACGTGGACTAGCGCGCATGCTGAAAGCCCTGCTGCAATCCTTCGAGGAGGATGTTTTTCGAGTGCAGCGGACTGGCTGGCTTGCTTCCTGCTGCAAGCATGTTTTTTGAGTTTTTGGGACTGGCTTCCTTGCTGTCTGCGATGAATAGGGCCGCGTTTGTCGATGCGCGTCTTGTATTTGCTATGGTTGTATGGCATGGGCGGCTCTCGTTTACCTCCGAAGGGAGCACCGCTCAGAGTGCCAATGCGCGAAACATCTATCCCCCCCCCCCCGTGTCTTGCCCCTCTTTGTCGAGGGGGGTAAAAGTGGGTCGTTCGTTTGCTTGGCGTCGCCAGCCCCTGCATTCATCGGACTAGGTGTTGCTATGCACATGGCGAGCGCCGCGTAAGGTTCTGGATGCTATATTGGACATGCTTTGGAGACCAGTCGCCGTTTTGCCAACTCTCCATTACTTTCCTGCAGGCACTCTTGTGTGGGGTGCAATAGGCGGGGGCCAGGCTTTGGGTTAATGCAGTCCTTCCACGATGACAATGTCCACGGTTTGTGTGCATTCTGGTCGGTTGGCTTGTGGCTGCGAAAGGCGTCCGCGTCAACTGGACGGATAAAAATAGTGTTTTTGTTCATTTGAACACAAGAATGACATCAGCAACAACAACAGGTCGGGCTCTTCATCGAGGAAATGAGACGAGGAGTCCAGAACATTGCGCGACTACCGCATGTGTAGAGCTCTTAGGTCAACAGAAAGCAAGCAATAAGTACTTGTACAGTAATAGGAGGGCAAGGGATTTCCCTTAAAATCAAAGGATACCGTCGCTGTATTGTAGTCACTCGGAAGCTGGATTGCAACAAAGTACAACCAAGGCTGCAGGAACAAACTGCCACCTCAAAATACAAGCGTCACCGGTTTCTCACCCCGCACATTTCAATACAACACCCAAGCTTGAAACAATCCCTCTGAGAATCATGGACTCTCTCCGCCGATGTTGTGCGTTCGCTTTCAAGAGAGAGAGAGAGAGTGATCCCCGTGCAGGGTGGGCGGTAAAACTGAAGTCCGCTCGTGTCATGGTGCGACGAATGGCTCTACAGTAGGATCAAGACCAATGCGAAGGCAACGGGCGCAGGGCGGCGGAACAGATGCCAGCTAAATACTGTATCTCTTTCACTCATTCATGTGAAGGCAGCAATCTCAATCAACCGAGTGACGCACATCAATACAAATGTACACATGTCTACTTCGTCGCTCGCCGTAAATGGAGTGTTCAAACTGACCCTGTGCGTGTAAATGCTGCCACTGTGCTGCGATGGACTGTGTCCGTGTCCAGTTTCCAGAACGTGTCCAGTTTCATACGCATTTTAACCCGAACACCGAATCGTAACTCTGGGATTGGTTCTCACCATTCTTTGTTCTGGTTCGTGCGAAAAAAAAGGCTACGCGTTATTGCGGCATCATGCCCCTCTTGGGGACGCTGCAAGAAACATGTGCGTGCATATATGAGTTATTACTTCCTTCATCTAGCCCTCTCTCGCCCATTCTGCTATCGTGTGGTGCTGAGACTGCCTCCTTAGCTACTTCGCCGACTTATTATGAGGACGGTATTGATGAAAGCACATCACTATTGGTACACCCCGGGCGTCGGGTCGAGGGCGTCGATGTCATGAGTTGGTTTGGTCTACTTACTGATGCTCGAACTAACACCGTCAGCGCGGCGAGAACATTGTTGTCTATATCACACTGTTCAACGATACTCACATCGGCTGTAGACTGCCCCTTGTATGTCTTCTTGCCACCAAGATTGAGGTTCTTCCTCTCATTTTCATGTCTGAGAGTCTTTGCACAGGATGTGGTCCCTACCTGTTGACCAGCACTGTACGCACAGCGGTCGTGAATGTGTAGGGCCACGAAACAAAGCGCTGTTGTGCAGACTAGTACAACAACGTGGTCGTGAATGTGCAGGGCTACGAAACAAAGGGGTGTTGTGCAGATTAGCCAACATTAGGACACCGGATGGCGGAGTGTGTACAACACATGGCGGATTTGAACCCTAAACACCAGCGTTTTCGAGGATGGCACACCTACGATCGTTTTGCCAGCGACCCTCCACAACACGACCAGGTTGGACCCACCACAGACCAAGTTCGGTGGAACAGGATGGCCTGTAATTAGGCGGATGCTGTGCTAATCTGGACGACTGTTCCTACACTGCAGTACAAGACGTACGACAATGTCTCATGTTTCTCTACGTCAGCCCGGGTCATGCTCCAATCATCCTTTGTATGTACACCTCTGTACACTACAGTACTGCAGTTCTTGAACGGGGGAGTTAGCTCATGAGTGGGCACACTCAAGTCATGCCTACCGTCACGGGTGTCAACAAAATATTCTGACAGAGCAAGAACGGAGGGGCGTGCTCAACTTCACATCGATGCAGAGTGATTGGAGAACATGGCAGCCGTATCTTCTCTATCAATCCAGCTCCATTGGATCACCCCAGGAAGACAACAACGGAATTTGGTGTGAACCCGTCCCTTCGGCAGAAGTCAGTCGGTTCAATCCTCGGCCTGATATGATAGGTGAACTCGCAGCCGCTGGAGCCGAGACAGCCGCCGCCAAGCAGTCGCCGAAGCCGCCGCGGCGGAACGCCGCGTGTTGCGAGGCGGCCTGTTACTTTCTCTCATATTTATTTCTCCTCGATAGCTCCAGCGTGTTTCGAGACAGAGAAAGGGGACTGAACGATGTAGAGTCATTTTCCAACATGCTTCATGGGATACCTGACTCTTCCCGATTTCACTCCGAAGTCTGGATTCGTCTCACGTCCTAGATTACCATGGAATCGGATGGAGGTAGGTCCGATTTCCTTCCATAGAGGCTGATTCATCCTTCCGTCGAAGCGGTACACATTTGTCAAATAATGTGGGAGATCGCTAAAACATACACCCACAGCTAGCTGCAGCTGTCCTTGTATTCCGGTGCCTACCTCCCGAACCTTTCCCTACCGACGTCAGCTGACTCAACGATAAATCGCGTTTTAGGGTGTAAGCTGGTCGCCCCGGTGGTCTTCTATGCAGTGGTAGCCTGTAAACCGCTAGTTTAGTGGTCAACTCGTGAGTTCGAATCCCCACGTGGGGTGAAAACTTTACAAATATATTTGCGGGTGAAAGCGAAAAAGCTGAAAGCTCGTTAGTTCCAATGACTTCGATGTAAGAACCGTTGACGAGGGTACATCGTGTTGCAGGTTCCCTCGGCGAGTCTCTGACAGGTACGGCAGTCGACGAAATTATGAAGCTCGGTGGTTGGAAAACCAAATCATCATCGGTGGCGAGGGGCTACGTCGGGCAGACGACACTGGCCCCGACAAAAACGGGAAACGGAGGAAAATTGACAGTGCCTATGACCTGGCGGATAGGTTGCCGTTGAGCGAAGGTTTCACGGAAGGAAGTATTTATCACGTGTGGCGTGGGGACGCCCACCGGATAAAATTGGGTTTGGCATGTTTAGGCTGGAGGTATTGTCGGGCGGCTCATAGGGTGTCCCACACAATCTACAGTTCCGAAACGACCCATGGGACCCCCATGGGCCACCCATGGGTCATCCATGGGCCGCCCATGGGCACCCCTTTAGGCCCATGGGCGGCCCACGGGCAACCCATGGGAAGTCCATGGGCGGCCAATGAGAGCCCTTGAACCGAACGAGTTTTCTCCAAAACAATAGGTTATCTACTCACTATAACGGTTAATAACTCTAGGCTAACCCTAACCCTTACCCCAAGCCCACACGATACGTGCTAGGTTGGCACTGGTGGCTAAATTCTAGGTTGATATGCCGGTGGCGAAGTTCTAGGTTTACAGTGCCCATGGTGGGCACTTCATGGGCCGCCCATGGGCCGCCCATGGGCATGCCCATGGGTGGGCCCATGAAGAGCCCGTGGGCGGCCCATGGGTGACCCATGGGTGTCCCATGGGCAGTTTAGCAAAACTGTCAGTGGTGTGGGAGATTGAGCTCATATAGCCTAAAGACGATATAGAGAGGGTGTGGAATGAAGTTTGGGCTTAGGCGCTCTGACGGGACAGGAGGCCCCATCCAACGAAATCCACTACTTTTTATGATATGTGATCCAAACGCGGAGACGAGAATACAACAGAACAATCAAGAATGTACTTGACAACACTACTAGAGAGACACGAAGGAAGAAGCGTCCGCGTCGACACTACAAGGTACTGAGAGGAGACCGGAACGGTTTTTTAATATGAAGACAGCAACAACAACATCATCAACAACAACTCGGCCAACGGGTGCGCCCGTCGTTCTCATTCGAACAGTGGCCGAAAAGCGGGTACATACATACACCCGATCCTAACACAGCCATTATCGCGTACCATTATTTTTCGCAGCTGGCAGCGCCCACCTTGCGCCCTCTGATCGGCTGACGCCCGTCCCTACCCTGCCCTGACCCTATTATCGCCGGGCGCACCCGATCTTGGCTACTCACCGCCCGGAAGGATCCCCGATTTTACTTACTTTCCCCTAGACTGTACCTGTTCGACCAACAGCCCACGATAGCCCACTACAAGTAGCAGACAGACCATGCTCACGAACGTACGTTAACAACGCCCCGCTCTCGAATTTCGACGCTTGTCGACGGCGGGTGGAGGCGGACCAACCGCCGGCGGCGGAACTCTCTCGTTCCTCGCTCCTCGGTTCGGAGAGATAAGGCCAGGCGCCAGGCGGGTGGATGAATGTCACCGGCATGCAGCAGAGAGATCCACCTTCGCACGTAACGCACCCCAAGCTACCCTCAACGGAGGGGGAAACGAGAATTCTGCCGCCGGCGGTGGGTCCGCCTCCTCCCGCGGTCGGAAGCGTCAAAATTCGAGTGCGGGCGGTGACTGACATGTGTTCGTGAGCGTGGTCTGCTACTGTACATGCTACATTCATTGTGGGCTGTTGGACGAAGAGCCCCAGCCAATAGTGATATTGGGTAAAGTATAGGTAGGGGAGAGTAAACCGGGTACCGGGGGGGGGGTTAGTCGCCAAGATTGCGGGCGCACCCGGCCGGAATATAGGGTCAGGGTAGGGGCGGGCGTCGGGTAATCAGAAGATGGCTCCAGGAAGGCGCTGACAGCTACGTTTATAAATAGTGTTTCCCGATAAGGTTGGCCGTTGCTCTTCTCATTTCATTCCGTCGTTTGTTGGCCACCACCAGATGCCGTCATTTCTTTCGTTGTCTTTCTCTTTCCCTGTTTTTTTCTTTTTTTTTTTCTTTTTTTCCTTTCTCTTCCATTTCTTTCTTTCTTTGCCTTTCGTTATTCCATCCCTTTGACCGGGGTCGTCGATCGTCTCTCTATCCCGATGATGGTTTTCCTTGCTGTTGATCTATCTTTCGGATGGAGAACAAATCGTGCCTTGGATGAAATGTTCTGGTGTCCTTTTTTATTTTCTTTATTTTTTGAAAGGTGTAGACTACTCCCTCCTCCGGGGGGCAGTTGGCTTGTGACCACGGAAGGCGTCCGCGTCAGTTGTACCAGTACGAACACTAGAAGGTACTAAGTGGAGACCGGAACGGTTTACTATGTGAAGACAACAACAGAAGAAAAGAGAGCCTCCTTTCGAGACGCTCCATCATC